CCTGAATCGAACCATGGACCTTAGCTTATACTGTGGGGGTTTGGCAGCTTAACCACTAAGCTATAGAGCCCAAACCCATTTTTTATTTTTTATTTTTATGAAAACCTTTAGTATAAGGAATAAAATAATAATTTGTTGACTTTGAGAATGAGGATCCATGATAAAGCTATTTGAGCAATCTCGATTAATTGCAGAGATAAAAAAAAGAAAATTGAAATAAACTCTATTTTTTTTACTAATAAGTTGGATTTTGTAATAAGCTTTATCTAAATATTTCCACTAAATAAAATTTATTCCAAATGCTTTTTGTCTTATTAATTAAGGTGCTTAAGAATGCCTTTAGAAATCTTTGCATTTACTCCAAATAAGATAATGCAATATAACTAAATTTTTGTTGGAATTTTGTACAACAGAGAGTTTGCTATATATCGATATAATTTAAAGTAACCTAGTACTTTTTGTGCAATAGCAAAAAGAGATCTTTAGATTCGAATCATATCGAATTCAGATCAAATCCGAATCTGTATAAGGCGGATTCGAATCCTAGCTTGGATTCGATTCAAACTTCAGATCGAATCTGAATCTTTAGAAATATTCGCCAGATTCAATCCGTGCAGAACACTATTTTATATCTTGTAACTCTAGTGTTTTTACTATTTGTAATACTAGCACAACAACAGACAATTTCTGCTCTAATAGTAACACCTATGCTTTTATCTATACATTCAAGTCTTGTTATAAATCCTTCTTTTATAGCATAAATGTTAATATATTGTATAACTTTTTTTCAGATTGCAAATATCTACCCAATTACTATTTCTGTTTTAGCATGAAAATGATTGTTAAAACTAGTGTCAAGTTCAATAGATTTAGCAGTATTAGATTTGATAGATTTAGCAGTATTAAGTTTGATAGATTTAGTATCAAATTTCATTAGTATTAAGTTTGTTAGTATTAAGTTTGTCAATATCAAGTTCATTAGTATCAAGTTCATTAATACTAAGTTCATTAATGTCAAGTTCAATATTGGTATGAATATAGGTTCAGAATCAATAGTTGTATTAAGATGAAAACTTATTTTAAAATAAAAATTTTTAAGTATATTAGTTGTGTTAGTAGCTGTTGCTACACTTTTATCTAGCTCAAAGAACACACATATATATACTGTCACATAAGTATAATAATATTTGTTCTGGTCAAATACAATATATAAAAAAATTTAAGTATATTGTTCGCTTTTTATTATTATTTCTTTAACATGCAAAAAAAGTTTTATTATTTTTTTTTTTTTGCACTTTTATATTGTTTTGATTATTATATAATTTGTATAATATTTGTCTATCTGACTTTTGATTCTATGATATACTTTTAATAAACTTAATAAATTTGCATATTTCTAATATTATATGAAACTTTACAAGTTGAGGCTATAGCACCTGGTTTTTTTCATAGAAGAGTTTTATTATTTAATTAATAATAAAACTACAAAACTTTGTTATACCTTTACTAACTTAATATACAAATTTATAACTCTTTCTGATAATCATTTGAACTGAAATTCTCATTAATAGAAAACCAAAAAAATTTGTTAAAAAGTCATGACCTACTGGTAGTTTGTTTAGAAATCAACTTTTTGCTATACAAGAACTCCTTTATAGTAGGTATTTGACATGCAAGCTAGAAGCATTATTATACAATATAACTGGCAGAGAGTGCTCTTGTATAAAAAATCTTGTTGGAAGAACAAATATTGTGAGTCACTAGTTCTTTTTGTCAACGACTTTTAGGTTGTTACTTTGAAAAAAAATATTAGGGAAACAACAAATTATATGTTGCTCTAAAGTGCACTCTCTTTTTTGTCTCAAATGGCTCTTCTATTATTTATCTTTGCTTTCTTGTTGGTTTTCTAAAAAATTTTTAAAAAAGTAAGAATTTGGCTTATTCTTTTAAAAGATTAGCATTGTAAATATCCTAAATTTGAACAAACTTAGTAGAATACAATCACATGTCCTATTTATCTGTGGATATGATGCTACTTTATATAACTTGGATCAAGATCTCTAATTAAAAAGGTATCTGAAGCTAGTTAATAGTCGAATAATATATTCATTTAGATTTTGCATTATATTAGAGATATACAATCATTGTATTTGTTATAAAATTTTTACTTTTATCTAGCATGGTAATAATAGTACACTCCTTTTTTCATTTTCATTGCAACCTTCGAGTTGTCTACTATACTGCTTCTTGATAGCTCTCAGAATTTTCTCTTCGTTTTTTCTTTTTTTGCATTTTTTGTTTCTTTTTTTGTTTTTTTTTGAAAAATTTTTTTTTATTTATTTTGTTTTTGTTAAATATAGGTTCTTGTTAATTGGTGGTTTTGTATTGTTGATACAAAATCATTACTTTCTTTTGCTCTTAGTAAAGAATTGAAGGAATTAGCTTTTAATAGGTTAACAAAGTTTTATCCAACTTGTATACTAGATGGTATAACAGGTTGCTAATGGGATGTTTATTGTAGCTGTGAGATGTTAGACTAGCAATTTTCTGACAAATTGTTTTTAGTTAGAAATAGTTTTATTGTTATTAAGTTTTTAAATAAAGTTGTTTGTATTTTAGCTCTGACAAGACTATCAAAGAGCTAAAAAAAATATATATATACAAATTTATTAACAAATATCGAAATGGCAATTATATACTAAGTAGCTATATATATATTGAGATTTAATTAGCTAACAATGAGTGTGGGTCATATGACTAAGACAAGATTACATTATTACTTATATATTGGAATTTGATTAGCTAATAATAAACAAGAGTCATGTGATTCAAGGTGGGTAACTCTAATCTGAGTAAAAATAGATTTTTTTTTAAATTCAGCAATCTTGCCTCAACTTTATTAGGCTAGAATATTTAACTCATAAGTAAAATATCATTTTTGCTAAAGTAAACTAAAGCACCATCTAAATTGCTAACCTAGCTTATTGTAATACCAAAATACCCAAATCACCCATATTTGATCTGCTATAGTAAAGTTTATCTCTATATCAAAAAACCCTGCAAATGAATTTTTCAATATATTACTGAATGGTATTTATAGCCTATCAAGACTGTCATCTTTTCTAAACCTTCTTTTCCTAGCTTTGCAAGCAGAAGGATTCATAGTCTCCAACTGACTTATAAAAAAAAAACACTAATACTATAACTGAAATATTCAGTTTTGGGTTGGGTTAGATCTTTGTTAGAAGAGATTCAAAACGAAGAGGCTTTTATTTAGATAGTTTTTAGGACATGATAGTAGATTATGTCTCTTTAAGAGACTAATTTATATTTCTTTTATAATTCTTCTATGAATAACTACTATTCTAAATAAATTTTTAAACTGTTTACTGGCCCTGTTATACAAAATAATTTTATACATAACGATTTATGCGTAATGATCATATGCGTAACGAATTATGCATACGAATTTATACATAACGAAAATAATAAATAGCAAATAAATAAATAAATAAATAAAGAAAAATCTATACTAAGAAAAATAACTTAGTAGTGGCCATATATAGTATACAGGATCACGTGACTACCACAATGTTATACACAAAAATACCACTCTGTTACGCTTCTCTCTCCTTCAAAAATATGAGGTCCTCTGAGCATAATTAACCAGTAATTATGAAATTCTCAACTTCTATAAAAAAATAAAATAAAAAAATAAACTAATTCTATTCAGGGGTTTTAGGTTCCTTGGTATACTTGTAACCAGAAACAGAGATTTTAAATAGGATAATTCCACAACCAAAAAAAACTTAGGGAGCTGACAAAAATCAGGTGATTTTTTAGGGAGGAAGGAGGATAAAAAAAGTTGAAATTATATATAAAGAACCTGACTATTTGTATATTAAAGAAGAGGAGGGGGGTAGACCTCTGATAAAAAATAATCAGGTGATTAATGATACAGCCCTTAGGGGTTTTAAACAGGATAACTCTACAACCAAAAAAAAATTTATCTATGGCTAATCTATAGCCAACATGCATAGGTCTTATTTCTTGCCAGACTAGGCTTTATCGTTATACCTCATACAATACATTCTTAAACAAAAACAACTTGTCAAAAACTAAAAAAAAAAATAATAATAAACTGTTTAAAATAACAACTAAAGAAAAAAAATAAAAAATAAAAATAAAACGTCTAAAAAAAAATATAACTATATAAAAAAAAAATTATCTAACATTTAAAAATTTATTTTAAAAACCTTGCATTCAGAATTAGGAGTATTTAAGTATCATATTTATTTATTCTTTGGGCCAGGTCGGTTTCTAGAACTATACCAAAATCAGATGGTATTTCTTTCGTCTTGACTTTGACATTACTTATGTGATCATCAGATTATTGATTGATGATTCACTTGTACTATCTACTAATTTTAAATTTCTTTTTTTTTTAAATATTAAGGTAACCACTTAGGCCCTTGGCACTTTATTAATACAAGCGGTAGGCCAATGTTAATTTTAGTACTAGCTTTACATATTTTATCAGTATCACGAGAGTACAACTAGTCACACGTACAACTTTTGATTGCCTATTTAAGTAGTC